AATCACTCATGTACTTTTCAAGTTACAGAATTTTAAACACAACCACCATTTTAAGGTTCCGTCCACGGATCACCAAAAAGTTCAGTGTTCTTTCAGCAAAACAAAAACAAATCATATAGGGATGTGTGTGAATTGTTTTTGTTTTGCTGAAGGAACGCACACCGTCTTTGTGATCCGTGGACAGAACTTATAAACGGTGGTTGTGTTTAAACTTCTGTAACTTGAAAAGTACATGAGTGATTTGAAGGATTCCTGTACTAAAAGAAAGCTTTTGAATTGGGCTTTCATGTCCTAGATTTTGAAAGTGCTACATGCAGAACTTCATTAAAACAATAGTCCCAACATTTGGGTTTCTTTTTTTTTACTCACCCTGTACATCACTGCCTGTATAAGAGCTAGGTCATTCTGCTCAACGTCTTGACCCCTTAGCTGTCAACCACAGGTGCTATTTTAGGGGAAATTACAGGATGCCAATTTGAACAAACATTTGGGTTTCTTATTAAATATGAAAATGTCAAATTAGTCTTGGTACTTCTGCTGACCCTACACTTCCTGTAATTTCTGTGCCGATCGTACAAGTTATAAAGCTGATATAGACCAGCAATGTTAAGTTCGGCCAGTAATCGTTGATGGACGTTAACCACAACTTCAGCAAGTCAATTTTTTTATGCCCTGCTGGTGCAGAATATCTCTAGAATTACTTGGCATAGCAACTTCAAACTTGGTATGTTCGTCTGTCTTGGCAGTCCCTTGTTTTTGGACTTCTTAGGTCAGTGGTCGAGGATATTATGGTACAAACAATAGAAATGGTTTCAGCAGAATAACTCTAGAATTACTTGGCATTTCAACTTCAAACTTGGTATGTTCATCGGTCTTGGCAGTCCCCCAGAAGCCTACAGGTTTTGGACCCCATAGATCATTAGTCAAGGACAGTATGGTAAAATACAGTGGAGTGCTGTGGTCCAATGGTTACCGTGTTCGACTCGTGTGCCGTAGTACATGGGTTCGAATCCTGACCGTGGGAACACGGTGCTTGTGCTCTTGAGCAAGGCACTTTACCATTATTGCTTCGTCCTTAGGATGGGACGTAAAGCCGTCGGTCCTGTGTGTTGTGTAATGCATGTTAAAGAACCCAGTAACGCTAAGAGAAGGGGTTTGCCCCGGTGTTTCTGGCAGTGGCTGCAATATGCACCGCAGCACCTTGTAAACCCTTATAAGGTGCTACATAATTGGTCTCATATTTCTCACAAACTTCATTTACCTGTCTTTAATAATAGACATAATTTCCAGCGCCTTGAGTACCTAATTGCTGGTCGATACGTGCGCTATATGAGACTCTGGTATTAAAAAGAAAATAGAATTGATTTCAGCAGAATAACTCCAGAATTACTTGGCATATGAACTTTAACTTGGTACGTTGGTTGGTCATGAGGTCCCCCAGATCATTTAAAATGGGCTGAGCGGGGCATTTGTGTTTGTCAACACGTCATTCCTGGGTTTGTTTTATTCGCTACTCAAAACCCAGCTTGCAAAATTGTTTTAGACAGGCATAGAGATTGTGTAAGCGCTACGAGTCACCATTTTTTCCCTCCCAATTTCCCCTGAGAGAGCTCGTCTGTGGCTTGTTACGTCCCTCGGGGAATTCAGTCGGTCATTCCTAGGGGTTGACAGCTGGCGAGGTTTTGTGTGTTGTCAACTTGTCATCCAGAGGGGTTATACAAAGATCAGGGAGTTGAAAGTAGGAGTCGTGACGATCGGATGAGTCACAGAGTGACAAGGGGGAGGGAAGGTTAAGGGGCAATGAGGGTTTGTTTAAATAGTTGGATTTTTTTTTCTTTGACTTTATATCTTGTTCAAGGTTTATTTTGTTGTTACTGTTTGCTTGACCTACACAATGCAGTTTTTCCCCCTAGATTTGTATGATGAAGAGTACAACTTTGAGAGAAGGCTGTGGAATAATGTTGTGCATCGGATCGAGTTGACCAGGCCAAACTGACCCGAAACATTACAGATAAAAACCGAATCTGAACCGAAACCGATCTGAACTCCCTAAAACCGACACAACTCGACCTGACAAAAATTCAAGGAAACCGACCCAAACTGACCTGAAATTGACCCGACCTGAGAAAAACCTGAAATCTGGCTTGGGCAACTGAGTCCGCTTTTTGTGCCTGAACTTACCCACATCAATTGAATATCGTCGTCTCTCAGAGAGTGAAGCATATCATACATGTACGATACAGTGAAGACTCACAACGTGACCTACTGGTGAGCCAATTATGTTATAGACCGTCTGTGATAGTCTGCAAACCACAGATGGTCATACCGGGCAAAGTGACTCTGCAATAAATTGTGCATCGTGTGCATTTCCGAACTGTTTAGGTTTATTTCTGATTTTTCCAAGATGGCTTAACCGAACCAGCCCTACCCGAAAATCGCAAATGCAAACCAAAACCGAACCGACCCGACTGAAATGTTGATTTAACCGACCCAACGGTCGGGGTCGGGTCGGTTTCGGGTCGATTTGCACAACATTATTGTGGATACCCAATCATGTGGAATGACAACCTCTAAACAAGGCGTGGTCCTTCGAAGAACTAGAGGCGTCAATTTTATTTAACACCTGTGTTCCCAAAAGATCCTACTCTGTCTGATGTCTGTCTGTTGTCTGTCTGATGTCTGTCTGTTGTCTGTCTGATGTCTGTCTCATGTCTGTCTGATGTCTGTCTGATGTCTGTCTGTTGTCTGTCTGATGTCTGTCTGTTGTCTGTCTGATGTCTGTCTGTTGTCTGTCTGTTGTCTGTCTGATGTCTGTCTGATGTCTGTCTGTTGTCTGTCTGATGTCTGTCTGATGTCTGTCTGATGTATGTCTGTTGTCCGTCTGATGTCTGTCTGATGTCTGTCTGATGTCTGTCTGTTGTCTGTCTGATGTCTGTCTGTTGTCTGTCTGTTGTCTGTCTGTTGTCTGTCTGATGTCTGTCTGTTGTCTGTCTGTTGTCTGTCTGATGTCTGTCTGTTGTCTGTCTGTTGTCTGTCTGTTGTCTGTCTGTTGTCTGTCTGTTGTCTGTCTGTTGTCTGTCTGATGTCTGTCTGATGTATGTCTGATGTCTGTGTGTCACGTTTTTTTGTAAAAGGCCTAAGGTGTGTACGGAAACACAAAACGCAAGGGTTTATGGAGAGGCTTAGTTATATCATGAAACTCCATGGATTTACATGTATGCCCCGATTTCACTGTCCTCTGAAGTCACGGTTGGCACGTGAAAAAAATGATTTGTTTTGTTTTGTTTTTGTTTTTGCAGATTTGTTTCTGTCAGACTTTGAATAGTTAAATATTAAACATTACATGTATCTCTATGAAAACGCTCCAAAAAGGCTATTGCGCAAAACGTAACGTTGATGATGAAAAATCCGCCAAAATACCTTTTAAATGTCGATCGTACGAATTTGTACGATATAATTATGTATGCATTTTGAAACCTGACTCAAAAATACGTCAATTGAGGGCGCACTGATCATTTGTAAGACTTTCCCAAGTAAATCTTGAACTCGTCCTCTAAGTAACAGACTTTACTAAGTTACTCCGAAGTACCTATTAAAACCTACATATACACACACAAATGTTTCTGTTTATAGGATATTTTACTTTTCCCATGTCAAACAAGCTATTCAAATGAACAGCAGGACATCAGCCTTCCTTTGTTCATCCCCTGTTAGTTAGGACTGGACTTGTGATTTCCTTATGACTGGACTTGTGACTGGACTTATGACTCGACAACTACACTGCTGAAGATACAGGGTGTCTTAAATAAAAAATGTAGCAGTCAATCCATAAAAATATTTAAAAATACTAGCCCTCTCTTTTTGCTAACATTATCTATAGAGTCTGAAGGTGTAGTAAATACTCTACACAATGGTCTTTATCCCATCTCATTTGGACATTCCAGTCCAGAGATACAGCTAATTAAATGAAAGGACTTGAATTCCAAGTTGGACCACTTGGTATCTAATGAAAGGCATTCACATACCAAGAAGGCGAAGAAAGTGGCCCAAACAGATTTTGACGGTCTTTACAAACTTTGTCGTAACTTTTAAACAAAAGGTCCAAATCACACAGAACGAAAATCCTGTCAAGGGTAAAAAACACACTTTTTCATCTCGTGGTATTTTTCTTTTTTTATAGTTTCCCCAGAAAAAAAATGTTTGACTGCTACTTTTTTTTTAGAGGCACCCTCTACATGTACAGCGCGTCCCAAAATACCCGCAACATTTTTTTTGCGAGGCTCCAGTTTACATGTACCGCCATTATTTTATATCATTTTAAAGCTTGGAACCTTTACTTTAGCCCTGGTAAGTATTGGTTTGATTTGCAAAAGGGTTTTGAAATTATTGGTGTTCAAATAAAGGCATGTCAAAAACAAACTCAACCGATTTCAAGGAAAATCAATCATGCACATTTTTTCTAATGTGGAAATGGTTCATCATGTTCATGATGTGATTATCTCGTTGCCTTTTACTTTCTGTGTTTCCTATTCTTTTTGATCCAAGTGGATACCTTAAACGAATTCACAATACTGTTCTTCGTTTTAAGTTCAATTTGGAAATTCACATGCAAGTACCTATTCAAAAAGCGCGCTCAATGTGTGACTCGAGTTTGCATCTGATGTACCGCATAATCGAGTTTCCTTTAAATCGGTTGAGTTTGTTTTCGACATGCCTTTATTTGAACGCGAATAATTTTCAAACTCTTTTAAATATCAAACCAAAACTCGCCAGTGATAAAGTTCAGATTCCAAGCTTTAAAACGGTATAAAAATAATGGCGGTAGGTGTTTCCGCGCCGACGCTAGAGCCTCGCACAAAAAAAGTTGCGGGTATTTTGGGACGCGCTGTAACAAAAAATGTTAAATTTGAAAAAAAAAATCCCAGGTTGGTAGGATGTGAATCATCCCAAAAAAAATACCGAAAAAAATTACAATTTCTTTTTCTTTTTCCTTTTTTAAGGGCGGTGGAGCCCGTTTCATCCGGTACAATTGCAGCGTTGTGGGTTTGGAAAAAGGCCACCTACTAATGCACCCTGGGCGACTAACCCACTACCATGAGGGGCTCCGAACCACCAAAGGAACACGCTACATCCTGGTCTCCTTCATTGACCCCTGAAGAGGGTGCGACCTCGTGACCCTTGCCCCCTGAAATGTTTTTGGACTTCCAATTGGTGCTATTCGAGGTATTTTTAAAAAATAGTTGTAGTATTTTGTTGGTTGCATAGATTCTTTCTGTGCATTTTTTGTGTGTTATTTTCATTATTTGTATTACCTTACGTCAATTGCCAAAAATAAATATATGCCATAAATTGGACGACACACTAAAAGCTTAACTGGCAAATGATATTTGTTAAACTTACATTATGGCTGAATCATGCTGATAACTTTAAAATGTTGTTCATTTTTCACTAAATTTTTGTTATTTTTTTTGATAAATTTGATGATTTTTTTCCTGTACTTTGATAAAAAATAGTGAACATGAATCGCAGAATACACCACATTGTGTAAATACTAGGCGTCAATATTTGAAACCTAATATACAGTATATTCGTTTTACCAACGTCTCTCTTGCTATCCTTCACAGTAAATTTAAGATATTTTTGTACATGTACCTCTGAACAGCATGCCCACCATCGCAGGTCTTCATTTCATTTCCGATTAGATCCTAGTTCTAACCTACTGTACTCTCATGGAAGGAAGTGGCTCGTGGTTAGGGTCTAACTCATGATCAGAGGGTCAGGGGTTCGAATCCAGCTGCTGGCCGGGCATTGTGTCCATGGGCAAGCCACTTCACCCCAACTTGCCTTTCTCCACCCATGATTATAAACAGTTACTAGTATTGGCTGGGGAGTAACTTGCAATGGAGTGGCATTCTATCTAGGGACATAGAAATATTCTCAGTCAATTCATGACAAAGAAACACCAGCTGATTGGTGTAAAATACCTTTCCCAAGAACACAGCATAACCAGCAGCTGTATCCAGATGTGCAACCAACAAATACTGTTCATCTGTAGTCCATAATCTCCCAAAGTCTAACCACAAAATAACCAAGCAAAATTACTCTTAATTTTTTTGAAAATATCAACTGAAAACATGTCAAAATCAATGTATATTACATGATTTTTTCTTTCTTTTATTTTGCTTTGAGCTCTGCTTTTGCTCTATTGCAGTCCTGCTCTATTGCAAATAATTTCTATGCTCAGCAAAGTCCCGTGCTGAAAATCTCTGCGAAATAAAACCTAACTCTAAAAGTTGACCAGCCAAAGCATATATCCAGTCACTGCCAACTCTTCTTGTACAATGTACAGGTGAAATTACGTTTTTTTCTCAGTTATCTTACTCTCACCCAAAATCCCTTAGTCCTAAAGTCGGACATCTACTTCACACCTCTAGCCCTGGCTTAGAGCTCTCCCTGTTGATTAGCAGGTATTTCCCGAGTCAATTTACACGCACAGGCTGTGCCAAACTTTGTCACCAGTGCTGTAAGACATTAGGAAACAAGCGTTTAACAAGTTGTAACGGCGGCGCACAAGTGTTAGGGTCCCCTCTTGTTAAAGTGTGACAGCTCGGGCAAGTGCCGGCTTAGTATCTGCTCTATCGCTCGGACGGCATGGCTCATCGTAAGTTTCCTCTGATCACAGAATCTAATGTTGTTATTTGCTTATCCTGCGTGTTTAGACACGCCGTCAATTCTTTCTAGTCCTCTCAAATAATAGTAATCTACGAGCCAATAATAGATTTTGAAACAAGCTGGGGTGGGACGAATGTTCTTTCATCTTCTGAGAATGATTTTAAGGTGATAATTGATTTTTTCCTATTGAGGAATCAGGAGACTTAGCACCGGACCAAAAACACCTCTCCGTTGTCTCTGATTGTTTCATTGCCAAATCTTCCCTGGACCCAACTTACTCAAAGACAATTACATTGAGTTGCAAGTGTTTCCAAGTCTACCCTCTTATCTCTGCGAACCCGGTTCGAAAGCCAGTCTTCTCCGATTTAGGAGATTGCTGTCCTGATTGGTCTACTAAATCCCTGTCTCAAAAGGAAAGAAGGTTTTTCTTGTCAACGATGACTCGTTGCAGGGTAGTCATTTCCAGACACTTTGTCGTTGTATGTTGTTGGCAGTGTGGAGTTACGCATTCATGTCTCCTCTTGGCAAATTTGCTTCCTAAGATTCAAGAGCTTCTGTTGCGGATTACAGCTGCTAGTCAGCTACTTACAGAGATTTTGAGAGTTTATTTTGGACTAGTCCATCTTACTCAGTAGCTGAATGTTACTCGTGTTTTCCAGTTCAATACAGAAATAAAAAACTAGAAAGCACTTAGAGAGCTCAAACCTCCACCAAGGCTGAACAATTCGTCCCCATATTGTCAGCACACCCAACAGAAATACTTGCATATGTATCCACTGGACTTCCATATTTTATTGCACATTTAAAATGTCATCAGGATTGCTCATATTCTGAATTTATCGAAAAATGGCCGCTTTCCGCTTATCCGTCCTGTACGTTGTTTCAGTTGTAATACACTGTGTTACATGTATGTGGCCTGTGGGCTGTGCAGCTGTTACTGGACAAATGCCGCTGTGCAGTCATGCGTGTAAGCCAGTAAAGTGAGGCATGATAATCCCAGCGTCAAGGGGTAAATGGGGAGTTAAAAGCAAACTTGTGGAATCTGGCCTTATCTGCCAATGGTGAAAACCTTAAAACAAATCCTGCAGCCAGACCCAGATCCGGATCACTTCCAAAATCTTAATCAATTTGTACTTGTACATTGTATCAAGGACTTCCCCTAAATTTGTTTAAAACAGACAAACCAACCAACAAACCAACCAACGCCGATGAAAACATAACCTCCTCCTAACCTTCACTGTCACCGCTATTAACTGCTAAACTTTAATCGGATTTAGTACAGCCAATAACTTATTTTACTAGATTTTACTTATTGGATTTAATACAGCCAATAAGGTAACAAAATTGTAGAACTGTTCTTCCCCCCCCCCCCCCCCCCCCCCCCCGCCCCCTTAAAAAAAAATCCAAAACTACAAACACATTTATTCGTGTCTAATATGACCTCAGCGCAAACCCCGACTTATCCCTTCCAGGAAATAGCCAGCTTCCAGCTTATCTCCGTGAATATATCCAACTTTCCCACGTTCAAAATTGCCAGTTAATGTTGAAAAATACAAATCGGGGGAACTTTCAGCAGAAAGTACCCCCTTCACCCCTCCCCGGGGAAAAGCAGATCAATTATCGGACGCCTTGGCTGTGCCAATTGGCCTACAAGTGTCCCAGGTCCCTCTTGCCGTTGAACCCTGATCAGCAGAGCATGTGTTGGGTATTAAGGAATGTTATCTCCAAACAGGCAGACATGAGAAATCCCACTCTTCACTTTCTGTTCTGTCTTTGCGGCTTTTTTTCCTTTTGTGTGTGTCATCGTGTCGTCCTGCTAAAAGTTGTTTAATTCTAAGCCAACAGAAAACCAAACTTTTGCTAGCCGCCGAGCCAGGGGCAAGTTTTCTAGATCTTTGTCCAGTTTGTGAGAGCTACATGTACATGTAGTGAGCCCTAAAACGTCGCTTAGTAATTTGGTTACACACGACACCTATGTTCCGACATCCGTATGTTCCGACTGCTCAACCTATGTTCTGACACCCCTAAGTTCTGACACCCCTACAAATGTATTTTCTGACCTCTGGCCCCAACGCACCATTCTAAACGGGCTAGCACAATCTTATGTACGGGTTGTCGTAACATAGGGGTGTCGGAACATAGGGGTGTCTCAAGATAGGTTGAGCAGACAGAACATAAGGGTGTCGGAACATAAGGCTTCCGGAACATAAGAGTGTCGGAACATAAGAGTGTCGGAACATAAGGGTGTCGGAACATAGGTGTGTCGGAACTCAGAAGATAGTTTTGTTGGAACATAGGTTGAGCAGACGGAACCTAAGGGTGTCGGAACATAAGGGTGTCGGAACATAGGGGTGTCGGAACATAGGGGTGTCTCAAGATAGGTTGAGCAGACAGAACATAAGGGTGTCGGAACATAAGGGTTTCGGAACATAAGAGTGTCGGAACATAAGGGTGTCGGAACATAGGTGTGTCGGAACATAGGTGTGTCGGAACTCGGAAGATAGTTTTGTTGGAACATAGGTTGAGCAGACGGAACCTAAGGGTGTCGGAACATAAGGGTGTCGGAACAGAAGGGTGTCAGAACATAGGTGTGTCGGAAGATAGGGTTGTTGGAACATAGGGGTGTCTCAAGATAGGTTGAGCAGACAGAACATAAGAGTGTCGGAACATAAGGGTGTCGGAACATAGGTGTGTCGGAACTCGGAAGATAGTTTTGTTGGAACATAGGTTGAGCAGACGGAACCTAAGGGTGTCGGAACATAAGGGTGTCGGAACAGAAGGGTGTCAGAACATAGGTGTGTCGGAAGATAGGGTTGTTGGAACATAGGGGTGTCGGAATATAAAGCAGTGACCGTAAATTTAAGTTAACAGGAACCAGTCAAGCACAGTATTCATGTACTTGCATGGTATTTTGGTTTGAACTCAAGTCACTGGTTTTGCAGTCACTGATTCAATTTGCCATCGACAAGGAAACACAGCCAACAACTGCGCAGATTTCTAGGAGGAAGAGCAGATGCTGTGAGTCACCCTTTAGCTCATGGGGTTTATTTTTGTCAAAAAAATTTCCCCCCGAAGATTGCGGAGGCGTAGCAAAACCTGAAAACAGCATCAGTGGCTGATTCGTTACTGATCAGGCAACTGATTGGCTTTAATTCTCCGTAACCACCACTGTCTCCTAAGATTGGGGAGACAGCAAATTTCATGAGTCATTCTTTGACATTTTTTGTCTTTTTGAGAATCGGGTAAAGCAAAACCATGAATGCAAAAAAATTGCAATAATGCTTGTAAATGAACATTTTTGACTCGCCTGATGAACTTTGTTTAGGAAAGAGACTATGCAATCACTATGTTTGTCCGTATGTACATGTATATGGTATTTTGGTTAAAGTTTTGTAAAATTGGCCTAATTTCCAAAGTTGAAGTCCAATTGGAATCAAACTTGGGTCATAGATGCAACATGGGAACCTTCATATGATAATGATGTCAAAGGTCACATACCAAGGTCTAATGTCATCTGAGGTCAAGTTGTAAAATAGGCTGAACATGTAAAATTGGTCTCATTTGAAAGTTGAAGTCCAGTTGGAACCAAACTTGGGTCATAGGTGCAACATGGGAACCTTCATATGATAATGATGTCAAAGGTCACATACCAAGGTCAAAGGTCATCTGAGGTGAAGTTGTAAAATAACATTTCAAATGTCCAGCGCTGGAAATTTGTCGACCATCTCCCACAATGCACTGGGAAAAATGAACTCTCCATGGCAAACTCTTGGTGGCGCACTGC